TTTACTTTTCGTGTCTTCGCTTGAAAAGTCACGTTCTCTGACTCCAGTTCTTTGACCCGACCAGAGGAGCTGCCCTCTTCACCCGCAAGGACCACGACCATCTCTGCCATCTTCATCACCCCGACCATACTGGAAGCCAGATTATTCCTTCAACCTTCGTCGTCGAGTCGCCTTATGATGTCGAACTTATTATTGGACACAGTTAGAGGGAAGCCCTCACAGAAATCCTTCTCCATGAAACAAGGCAGGAGGATGAAGGCTCGGGCAGTCCCCCCCCCCCCCCCCCCCTCTCAGTCACACCAGCAACCCCATATACGGGGTGACTCCTTTTCCTGCCCAACACAACAGCTTGTTGGTCGACACCGCGGGTTCCCGACGATCCACTGGATCCTTCCTTGGCCGGCTCGGAAACTGAACTCATGCGTGTAGGCTAATGCGGCTTCACCAACCTCTTATGGCTCTTTTTATCTTAGGTCAGCTTCAACAGCCTCTCGCGACGTTCCTCCATGTTACTTGCAAAAAAAACGGTGTCCTCGGGTCAGCCTCAACGTAAAAACAAAACAAAAGAAAAAAATTCAAGTCAGGAAGTAAAAATATAGAAAAAATAAAGCGAGCATAAACCTAAGATATTCACGACTTCCCCATAAGAACGACACTCGATGAGCGCCTTGGTGTTGATCGGGCACACTTTGAATGTCGGCTCACCGTCTTCATCGAGGATGTCATGTCCTTCCCTCGTGACCCATCTAGCAGGAAAGAACCCATCGAAGAACCGATTAAGAACACCATATGCATCTTCGTCCTCAGTGCTCATGCCGCCGACGGGAGTGTGGTAATACCTGGGAGCATGATCGTAATGGCCCGAACACCAGTGGATGGGAAACTTCAAGATTCGCCCCATCTCCTATTCTCCATTCGCATCATAGCACGGTTCACCATCTTCATCCACAATGGGAGCCAGGTCGAACACGGAGTCCACGACAGTCTGAGAAGTAGGTCGCACAACATACCATTTGTCCTTAAAGTCGCGGGCGGAGTCCATGTACATCCTAAACAACCTCTTCGACTGTTTGAGGGAGACCCAACTGTGTTTCCCGCCCCGGGAATTCCGTTGTAGATGAAAAACCCTAAAGAACAGGGGAATGGTTGCCCCAGTCCTCAAGAAACAGAAAGTATTCTCGAATGCCCGGATGAAGGCAATGGCGTTCGGGTGAAGCTGGAAAGGTGCTAAGTTCAAGTGATTGAGCACCCCCACCTGGAAATCGTTGAAGGGGAGGCGAAGCCCCAAATCTCTGAAAAAGACCTCGTACAAAGGGAAGCGGTCTTCCTTGAACTCCAAGCATACTCGAGCATCGGGCGTTGGTTGCAAGACCGTGAAGTTCCTTTGGAAGACTTCCTGATTCCCACCATGATCGAAGACAATGTAAGTCTGCCTCCTACTATAACTATATATCGAGGCTATCCCTCGAGGCTCCGCCCTGACCCAAGCCAAGGCGAGATCGTCAACCGTGTCAACCAAGTTGACACCCTCCTCGGCTACACTGGTCTCTTTGACGTCCACGTGCTCGAATGATTCAGGAGTGTCGCCCATTTTACCTGTAAAGCAGAGGAAACCGATAAATTTGACAACAAATCCAAATCCATCCTTCTGTGATGCAGGTAAAAAGTCAGGCGGCACCCAAACCAAGTCGACAGTCCCTCGTGCAGAAGGGATAATACTCGGTCCTCGATCAGGGCACGAAAATCATGTCAGTCTTATAAAACCACACAGCGGTTATAACGACGAACACTCATTTTCATGAATACCCCGAGTACAGGAAGAATACAACAAGAAAAGTATGAATTTTCCGGCCTTACTCATGAATTCACCGGGGACAGCACAAACTTCTTGCGCAAAACCCATGAATTTTGCAGGGATATATGAAGACTACGGGGTAAACCCATCTAAGTGTCGGGGAAATGATGAATATCACAGACTCAATCACGAAAATTACGCATAAATACATGAATTCCCCGAGTAGAACCTCCCAGTCGTGAAATTCTACAACTAAAACATCATCAAAATAAAGATTATCACGAAAAGTACTTACTTGGACAAAGCAGATGAAGAACAACGAAGGTTGAAGAAGAACGCGCGACGGATTCTGCGGCGGCGGAAGGAAACAACACGACATTGGTGATAGGGAGAGTGGAGAGCGCGAGAATGTAAACGTAAATAATGGACCTTGAGGCACTATATATAGAGCTGACGTGGAATGTGAAACGTCGCGTCGGGCAGCTCAACAACCACCATTCTCCCCGACACCTACACGCTCAGCTAATGATGACCCATAATCTCTAGACCATCATTACAATCCCAAAGGTCACACCACGTGCCTACACCCTACAGGGTTTCCCCTCCCCGCGATTAGAATGGTCCCATCTCGAGTTCATTCTGAATGCTGCTCGGGTAAACCCATGAATCGACGACTTTCTCCGTCAACACAATGAAAAATCATCATCGAGCAACGCACCTCGTAAAAGAAAAAGTTGGACTTAAGTCATAACTCCTTCATCAGGAGCAACGACTTAGGGGGCTCCTGTTCTAGAATGGGTCTGCCCTTGGCCCAACTCCATGATAGGCCCAATCCAATTAGGCCGGTCAAAGTATACTAACCAGTTCTGCCCTCGAGTTCTGCTCGAAGTAAGCTGTGACGGTCAATTCTGGTCAGGTACGATCAATAGATATCTATCCCCTTCCACTAACCTAACAATTTATTATTATTTGTTATCGTAAATGATATCTCTATTCAGTACTAGTAGGATACAATCAGTTTGATTAAGGCTATGTTTGGATATGCAACTTATATATAAGCTCTTATAGATAAGCAACTTTAATAAGTTATCTTGACGAACTTATGAAAACAAGTTGAGAAGTGAATACAGTTTATAAACATGTCACGAGTTTCTTCATATGTTCTTCATAATCCTAACATGGTTTGTTGCATTGTACCTGTTTGTATTTTTTCTCCAAAGAGTCTCTTGCAGGAAACCAAATTTGAAAGATGTAGAGTCATTTGAGCATACACTTTTATGTTTCCGTAGAGCATACCTAATGTTTTTTGTTGGATTATCATTCAAGCTATATTTTTTGTGCTCCGGACTGTTATAGGAGTAGCTACAAGTATTTCGTTCATTGATAAAAAGGGAGGTTGAACTTTTGTCATGCCTTCCCTTCAAATGTTGAAACTAACTCGACGTAGCCTGAGTTTTTTTTTTTAACTTTGAGGAGGTATTGAACTGTATATGTCATTGTTTGTTATTTAACCTTTTAGTTTCAACTTAACTTGACTCAACATTTTTGGTGCAGAGGAACGTTGGATTAGAAGTTGATTAGTTACTTTATGTTCGGACATGTTGATTTTTCTGCTGCTTTTATTTGCAACACATGTTTGGTATTGCTGGATAAGTTAGTTGGGTTAACTGTTACATTAATTTTATCAAGAATGAATGGAATGATAGCATCATTTGGCAACACTTTGAATGTTTAATCACCCTTTGATGTAAATGCAAAATCTGGATTTTTGATGTCACTGACTAATTTAACTGTGGGAAGTGTGGAAAAGCTTTTGGTGTAGAACAGGACATTGCTACCTGTAAGAATATTTTTCAGGCATAGTTACATATTAATTGAGTATGCATGTATAATTGGTAGGTTCTATATGCATAATTCAATTTCCATAGGCATCATTTGAATTTAACTTGACAGTGTTATTATTTTGTTGTCATATAGTAGTATTGATATGTGCTTCATCCCAGTTTCCTACTTTTTATGTTTTTTATCCCTAAATATGTATAGTAACTTTACTTAATTGCATGTTTAGGTGAATGCTCCAGAGAAGGATATTGGCCATGGTACACTGTTGTTATTTGGTTTTGATTGAGGATGCTATTGTTAGGCATACTAGGGAGGTTGTTTGGATATGATTGTTATTGGAACAGAGGTTGTTGATATTGATGGTTCTCCAAGAATGGTAAAAAATTTCACCTTTTTGGTTTCATATCCATGAAATTAACTACTAGAGTACTAATTATCGAGTTTGTTAGTTGAAAATGCAGGGTCCAACATTTTTAGCAATGATGATATCAGGATATAAAGTAGCTCATTTGACTTTGAGAGCACATGGACTTCCTAATGTTGTGGATTCTGCAGGGAAAATCTATATTAAGCTCGTTGTATTTCAAACTGTAATTTTGTTCTATGGACATTCAAAAAGTTTAGATCTCAGAATTGTGGTCTTGAAACACATGTAGTGTTTAAAACATATGGATCCATGTTGCTTATAAGAGAATTCATGGTTATAGATATTTTGTTAATAAATTTTGTTTCAATAAGTAAATTAGTGGAAAGTAAAAAGAAAGTTGGACAGAAAATTATGAATTACAATTAAAATATATGCCAATTCATTTTAATTGGTTGTGTAAATTTAGGTAGTTTTCTTTTTACCAACCATTTTTTATTTTGCAAATTTTGTATAAAAAAGGTGGATGAATTGGCTTTACATGTATGTGACTCAAAGATTACAAGCTAATGATTTTTCAACATTGCCTGAAGCTCATGCATGCATTGTTTGAGTTGAAATCCTTGACTACTATCGTAAATGTTGCATGTTACTACTTAGTAGTATTTATGTTCATTTCTATGTTGATTGGCTTTAGTTGTTCAATTTAATTATTATTATTTTACTTCTTTAGATTTACATTATATCATTCAAAGTGCATTAATATTATTCTTATATTTAATTAATACATGTTATTTTTGTTTACATATTTATATACAAAATAATTAGTGTTACAAATTATTTTATTTGTTTATTAATTTAATCAATTAAAAATTATGGGTCAGTGTTGATTGACGCTGAAGTTGGTTAGAACGTGAGGAAGAAGAAAGGAGAGAGAGACATTGCGCGTGTTTTGGTGAGACTCGATCGGAAAAACCTCAGAGAGCAGAATAGAATAGAATGTCAACACATCTGCAAGATCCACCTTCAGACTCAAACTACAATCCCAATGCCACGTCATCAACACCCTCTCCTAACCCCTTCATCCGCGGCAGCATCAACGGTGTCGCCACCGCTCCATACGGCGGCGAATCCCACTCCCACTCCCACCACCGGAGATCGCACTCCGAGATCAACTACCGTCTCCCCGACGAAATGATGGACCTATCTCCATCCAATCCGTTGAACGGAGGAGGGTCCTCGACGGCCAGCCTGGAGGAGATCGGATCGGAAGACGATCTGTTCTTCACCTACATTGACGTGGAGAAGCTCGGAGGATGTAGTAACGGTTCGAATAGGGGAGGAAATGGATCGGAGCAGAGCGGTTACGGTAACGGAGCGGGGACGAGCGGACAGAATGATGGAGATAAGAGTCTGAATGAGGCTACTACGCCGAGAACGAGGCATAGACATAGTTGCTCTGTTGATGGTACTACGTCGTCCACGAGTATGCTTGGAGAGATCATGGATGCCAAGAAAGCTATGCCTCCGGATAAACTCGCTGAGCTTTGGACTCATGATCCCAAGCGTGCCAAGAGGTTTTTGTTGCTATGCATATTTTTATTGATTTATCTTCATTTCATAATGTATCAAGTTTATGATCATTATAATTGTCATTATTAATTCGTGATTTTTTAGAATCTTGATGTTGAAATGGGAACTTTGGTGGTGTTAGTCGATGAATGTGATTTTGTTGTGGTTGTGTTAGGTGTGAATTCTGGAGATCTTGACATCACTTGTTAATCTTCTAGGTTTGTGTAAAAACCATGTTAAGTCTAATGATAGAGTTTGTATAGAATCTTTCTCATTTGGTTTAGATTATTCAAAATCTAGTTCTTTGGTTGCTATTTCCTAAGAAGAATGCATTTAGAACTTCATGTGCTTGATGAGTGTTTCAAATGGGATGCCAGACAGAAATGTTACTGAGGTTTATGCCAAAGAGGATACTTTTGCTTGAGATTATTTTCAATAAGTGCATTTTAGTTATTGTTTTGGATTCATTTCGACTATTAAACTCCTAAGTGTTGTTGTTATGTATATAGGATACTTGCGAATAGACAGTCTGCTGCACGTTCAAAAGAGAGAAAGGCCCGTTATATACAAGAGCTTGAGCGCAAGGTTCAGACCCTTCAAACAGAGGCCACGACTCTCTCTGCTCAATTGACATTATATCAGGTTGGTGTCAACTTATCCAGAAGAATATCCGTGTTACTAATCTTTGACACTACAACCCATTTTTGTTTGTTGGAGCTGCATTTCATGCTAGATTTTGATATGATACTGCAGTTTCTTTCCTTTTTGCGGCTTTTGATTTTTGTCTGAGGATTCTTATTATATGACATTATTGCCTGAAAATAACTCTTCTTTGGTCTTGTGTAATCATTTCTCACCCTCAAACAATGAACTTAATTATAATAAGAGATATGTCCTTGTTATTGTTTTTAACGATGAAATCTACATATTTCTTGATCATGTCACAAAATAGTAATTTAAATTCACTAATTATTTTAGTAATTCCTGATATGGATATTTGTTTTCAATTGAGCTTAACCATTTATTGACATCAGTTTTTATGCACAAACTTAGGAATCTAACTCATCACTTGTTGAATTTTTTAGAGGGACACAAGTGGTTTGAGTACTGAAAATACCGACCTTAAGCTCCGTCTGCAAGCCATGGAACAACAGGCACACCTTCGAGATGGTAGCTACTATTAACTAAATCACTCTCTTATGATACAACTAGTTACATGTTTTACATTTTTCAAATGATAGTTTTTAAAATGATCATGTTAAAATTAATCAATGATGTTGGAATTTGTTTCTGATTTTATGTAGCACTTAACGATGCGTTGATGAAGGAAGTTGAGAGGCTTAAGATTGCTACCGGAGAGGCAATGAACCCCTCTGAATCTTACAATCTTGGAATACACCCGATGCAATTCGCAGGGTCAAATTTCTTTTCAATGCCACAACAACATTCAGGTCCTTCTGGTCACCAGAACATACAATTTCCCCAATTCGGTCACTCTCCATCTAACATGCCATCCCATCAGCTGCAACAAACCAATTCTCACCAATTCTCAGAGATGTTGCAAAACGATCACCTCGGTCATTTTAAGGGACTCGACATCAGTAACAAAGGATCAGCCCTCGTGAAATCTGAAGGTCCCTCAATATCTGCAAGTGAGAGTAGCACTACATTTTGAATTTAACCTAAACTCCTTGACCTGCTGACTTATTTATGGTAATCCATTCTTGTCGTCTGTTCATAGTGTTGACATCATATATAGTGTTGACTCCATATATAGTGTTGACTCCATAGTCTTGATTGTTTATTCTTAGGGATGCTACCCAAAACGGGGAAGCACCCGTGTGGTTTTGTCGCAAAAAGTCACGCAATCATGTCGAAGCGTGGCATTTTGGTGTTGTGGATTGTAATATTAGGAATGAAAGGTCATTCTCTTGGTGTCTTTGTATGTTGGGATGGTTTTTGATTCCTCTAAGGTCATGTATACTAATATGTAAACTGTGATTTGTTGCATTGTTCCAATTCAAGGATGTGTGAAATGCATCATCTAAAACGGAAAAGGATATCTAAGATGTACATCTAGTACTTTTAATAATGTTTTATTGTTATTTTCATCATTACAGTCTTAGGTGATTTTACTGCATCTTATTTTTGTAGCTTTAAGTAATAAATGACTTGATCAACCATGTATTCAAAGATAAGGGTTTTGAAAGATGTCATCCATGTATTATGATTTTGGCTTTTCTAACAGAAGTTGTCCTTTGTCTTTAAAGTCTTGGAGATAAGAATGCCAACCCCCTCATGGTTCAGAGATGTACATTTTAACTCTTGTCTATTTTTTTTTTTTTGTCTTACAAGACATTAATGTTCAAAATCTACTTTGAGGGTCCCAATACTCGAACAAGGATAGGGAAGAATTGTCTCTTTAGCAGCTGTCTTATTTAACGTGTCGCTGCTTGTATTGATTGAAAACGGGAAGCTGGCTAATACGAAGAAGGAAAGCACCCTATATAGGTGAACTTGGCACCCCATATAACCACAAATTTGACCATAATATCCTTATATTATAAAATTCAATTTTTCACGATCAAAACCATATATTTTGGAGTTTTTCAAAAAACAACGTTTTGCCTTAGATTTATTGGTAGATACTGGATTTTTATAAGTAGTTTGTTCCATTAAACTTACGAGTTTTTACCGCATATTCTGCTTTAATACCGGATTTTTCATAAAAATGGCGTTTTTACCTGTTTTTTTAAAATACGTGGTGTTATATTACATGGGATAAGTTGATTTTTTTGAAATATCCTGTATATGCAAAAGAATTGGATGAATTTTTACTGTATTTTTTTATAAAAACTAAGCATCAATTCTAGATTTTTTTTTCAAATAATAAGGTATTGAACAAAAATACACAAATAACCAAGTTTTAGAGAAAATTATGCAAATAATTGTTGGAAATCCACCAATACACTATGATGAATTTCGACCACCACTTGATGATAAGTTATGAAACAAACAAATAAAATAATAATGGAGATATTTCTGCAGAATTTCTATTCTGCCCACAAACTGTGGAAACTTTATTAATTCACTTTGCAACTGCAAAATACTGTGAATGAGTTCAATGACTTGAATACAAAAATAAGGGTTACTCCCTCTTATTTATAGATTTAGGTTAGCTTGCTCCCTAAGCTAAACCCAAGCCCAAAATATCTCTTTACTAAATCAAATCTAATCTAGATTTAAATTCAAATCTATTTAAATCTAAACAAATCAAATCTTCTTTTGACACCTATGAATTACAATTTAACACACCACCTAATTCATTGTGTCTAAACTGTCTATGTTCATCATGGCCCTTAGCTTTCTGAATACTTCGACTTGCACTCCCTTCGTCATGATGTCTGCAATCTGATTCTCAGTTCTGCAGTGTTTCAAATTCATCTTCCCATCTGCTACCTGCTCTCGAAGATAATGGAACCTCATTTCGATGTGCTTACTTCGACCATGTGCTATTGGGTTCTTCGCCAGGTTGATAGCTGACATGTTGTCTATCTTCATGGTAATTGCTCCATGATTTTTCCCTGTTATCTCTTCGACCAAGTTCACCATCCAGGTTGCTTGGCATGCACAAAGAGAAGCAGCTATGTATTCTGCTTCGCATGATGATAATGCTACTACTGGTTCTTTTCTCGAACTCCAAGCAATTGTTGCACCACCTAGCATAAACACATATCCTGCTGTTGACTTTCGATCTTCAGCATCACTACACCAACTCGAATCAGTGTATCCCACTAACTTGCATTCTTTTCCTTTATCAACTGCAGGAAATAAAATGCCATAATCGAAAGTTCCTTTGAGATACCTTAGTATCCTCTTCACAGCTGCTAGATGTGATACCTTTGGCTTCTGCATGAATCTACTTACCATACCTACACTGTATGCTAAGTCAGGCCTTGTATGACAAAGGTATCTCAATGATCCAATAAGTCTTCTGTATTGGGTTGGATCAACATCATCTTCATCAGCATCTTTCGACAATTGCAGTCTTGGTTCTGCAGGTGTCGAAGTTGAGTTGCATTCTTCCATCTCAAACCTCTTGAGAATTTCTCCTGCATATCTTCTTTGATGCATCATCAAACCTCTACTGCTCTTGTAGAATTCGATACCAAGGAAATATGAAATCTCACCCAAATCAGACATTTCGAATTCCTTGCTAAGGTCAACTTTGAAGTCTTCGATCTTACTTTTACAGCTACCTGTTATCAACAAATCATCTACATAGAGACATAGTATAAGCAATTTACTCTTGCTTCTTCTTACATATACTCCATGTTCAGTTATGCATTTCACAAATTCCTTCTCCCTTAGAAAACTATCAATTTTCTTATTCCAAGCCCTTGGAGCTTGTTTCAAACCATACAGGGCTTTATGTAGCCTGTACACCTTTCTTTCTTCGTCATGTTTCACAAACCCAACTGGTTGTTTAACATAGACTTCTTTATCTAAGGGTCCATTTAGGAATGCACACTTCACGTCCATCTGACATATGTGCCAACTGTTGATTTCTGCTAGACCAACAACCAACCTGATTGTTTCGATCCTAGCAACAGGTGCAAAAACTTCGTCGAAGTCTATTCCTTCTTTCTGTAGAAATCCTTTCGCCACAAGTCTTGCTTTGTGTCGAGTTACTTCACCTTTCGAATTAGTCTTCACTTTGTATACCCACTTGACATCAATTGCCTTCTTGCCTTGGGGCAATTCGACAAGTGACCAAGTGTTGTTGTCTTCGATAGACTTTACTTCTTCGTTCATTGCTTTCACCCACTTCGAATCTTTTAATGCTTCAGCTGCATTAACAGGTTCAACATCTGCATAGAAAGCATAATGTACCAGCTCTCCTTCATCATCTATTACATCATCTGATGTAATCACACAATCTTGCAATCTTGCAGGCATGCGTCTTGTTCTTTGAGGTCTGCTTGTACTGGGTGTATTTGTTGGCTCCTCTTGTTGAACTTCTCTTTCGACTTGAGTTTCTGGCTCTTCGAATAAGATTCCCACTGAATCTTTCTTGACATTTGTAGTCCAATCCCATTCTTTGAACTCATCTATGATCACGTCCCTGCTGATCACAATCTTCTTGTTCTCTGGATCGAACAACTTGTAGCCTCCTGTCGAATGATATCCAACTAAGATCATTTGACTTGACTTGTCATCAAGTTTCTTTCTCAACTGATATGGCACATGTCTATGTGCAATAGATCCAAATACTTTCAGATGACTTAAGCTAGGCTTCACACCAGACCAACATTCTTCTGGAGTAATTCCTTCTAGCTTCTTTGTAGGACTTCTGTTCAAAATGTATGTTGCAGTCGAAACAGCTTCTCCCCAGAATTCTTTGGGTAAATTCTTGCCTTTCAACATACTTCTCACCATGTTCATGATGGTTCGATTTTTCCTTTCTGCAATTCCATTTTGTTGTGGAGTATAGGGTGGCACCACCTCATGCACAATCCCTTCTTTTTCACATAATCTGTCGAAATCTTTCGACACATATTCTCCTCCACCATCAGTTCTCAAAACTTTGAGCTTTCGACCACTTTGTCTTTCGACCATGGACTTGAACTTGATAAATACTTCGAACACTTCACTTTTCTTCTTGATCAGGTAAGTCCATAGCTTTCGACTGAAATCATCTATGAATGTAACAAAGTATTTGTTACCTCCCATCGAATCCACCTGGATTGGTCCACATACATCAGAGTATATGACTTCGAGATTAGCCTTCGATCTGCTTCCTGCATCCTTGCTGAAGCTGTTCTTGTGTTGCTTCGCTTGCACACATTCTTCACATACTTCGTTTGGAATGTAAATTTCAGGCAATCCTGAAACCATATTTCTTCTCTTCAAATCTCTGATGTCTCTGAAGTTGAGATGACCTAGTCTATAATGCCATATCCATTCATCTCTGCTAGCTGCAGTCGAAAGGCACTTGTGCTCCATCACATTTAGTTCAATCTTGAAGGTTCGATTCTGAGACATTGGAGCCTTCAAGATTACTCTCCCATTTGCATCAACAACTCTCATCAACTTATCTTCGATTGACACTTTATAATTCTTTTCGACCAACTGCCCTATACTGAGCAAATTGCTCTTCATGCCTGGTATGTACAATACATTCGAAATTACTGACTTCTTGCCATCTTTCCTCATGATCATAACATCACCAATACCTTCAGCTGCTAGGGTGTTGTCATTTGCAAATTTTACCAAATTTTTCGTTGAGGGTTTTATGTTGACGAACCAGTCTTTCCTTCCAGACATATGTGATGAACATCCTGAATCCAAGTACCATTGGTCCTTGAATCTATCTTCATCTCTTGTTGTGACCATCAGCATCATCTCTTCTTCTTCTTCATGTTTTGCCAGCTTTGCATCACTTTCTTGATTCTTTCGTTTTTCTGGACAATCACTCGAATAGTGACCATACTTCTGACAATTGTAACATTGAATGTGACTCTTATCAGGTTTTCGACCACCACCTCTTCCTCTGTTTGCAGCACCACCTCTTTGGTTGCCGTGGTGTGGTCTTCTTTGATTCGACACGTCTCCTTCGATTTGGTTTCCTCTACCATTCGATTTGTTGTAGCCACCTCTACTTCTGTCGAAATA